AAAAAAAGCAAAATTCACGAAAATAACTCTACCGCATCCTTAAAAGACCTTAGGAGGGGAGGGGGAGCATAAAACCAAAAAATAACTACAGAAAAGGCTGCAGGAAAGAGGGAAATCTATGCTACTAAAGATAGTAAATAAAAGCAAAGATGTGGAGTACTCGCTCAATAAACGCCCTTATAAGATAGGAAAAGAGGTTTTGAATCTAGGCGGTTTGAACTCTTTGAAAACTAAGTTGGATTTAAAATATCTTTCATATCTTATAGACCAGGAAAGCTTTACACCCGAAGCACAGTCTGTGCTTATGAAAACAAAAGAAACTTTGATTTTTGCTTAAATTTGTGTTGGATTTTGATATTTTACAGAGCAAAATATGCATATTTAAAATTTAAAAAAACAAAAAAAAACTATTTATTTTTCATCATTTATTTTAATTTATATATCAGCATTTTCCCAAATTTAACTTTTTTGATTTGCTGAACACAACCTGTCACTGCTCTTTGTACTAATTGCTGTGTTGTCTTTCCGTCTACTGTTATAATTGGATAAATCCAGTAAATATCTTATACAATGGTGCCTTCAAATAAAATAAAATGATATCAGCAGCACATGGACTTGGGATGTGTTTGAAACTGTATAATTGGGGTTCTAGCCGCATTGCATAATCTGTTAGTTATTTGGCAACTTTAACCTCAAAATATTTAGCCTATAACATTTTTTGCATCAACAAATTTATAGGCAATATAGGTAATAGTTATTATTAAGAACACATTTGTACGATTAACTTTTTTATCTTTTGTTATTTTTTAAAAATATATGCATGAGCGAGTGTGTGAATTCTGGAAAACATAGTGACCCCCCCATTCGCACAATCAAAAACAGGGTAACCCCCTACTGATCCACCGACCCCCCTAGGCCGAAGTAACTGACCAATCCCTTAGACTCGTGAATAAACAATCAGTGTTCTCCAATAATAATGCAGGAGGTGAGAGACGCCATTCATTATTAATTTCACCCCATCGCCAGATATGGATGGTCAAGATGGCCGCCAATACCTAATTTGCATATCGTTTTCATTGAACTTGAGTTGGTATTGTTCGCCTTTACAATTGCACTGGAGTGCCATGAATAAAACGAAAAACAGGCAAAATGTGTACTTGCTTTGTTTAATTCCACTTATGTTCACTCTGAAATAGACACGACTTTGTCATTCACACTCAAGAGAGACTGAATGGTGAAAACTGGACAGAAATGCTGAGATGCATAATTGTCAAGCAACAAAGAAATTCGTCTTTAAAAATGCATTTTTGTATGGCCTCTATTGCAGTGTTTCGCCATTTGTATATCTTGTATGTGTGTGATTTATGCATCAACTCGATATTGTATATATGTACGTTGGTTTGTACTATCCATAAACTTGTTTGGAACAGTGCAACTTGTTTTTAATTTTAGATTTATAAACAAATGTTCCCTTGTCAACAAATGAAAAAATGTACATGAGACACAGTACTTAAACCTTGTTTTATTTTTATATTATATATTATTAGGTGATAGCGAGGACCCAGCATCTGTTAGTGTTAATCCTACAGCTGATCTGAAAGAAGATCCTGATTAAAACACAATTTTGCTAACGTTGGACCAAGAGCATTTGGGTGAGTAACAAATCAGAAGTTAATAGTTTTCATATTTTGATGAATTATTTTTACTGGAAATATAGCCAGTTTAATGTTGCTAGCTGTGAAATAAATTATTAAAATGGGGATGGTCATAACTTTGGCTATTCCGCTTGACTCCATTTGTATCGTAGGCTACGACCGGTATTGTCATTGATGGTACATGTTGGAACATTAACAAAATATTTATTGCTATGCTACCTAAGTGAAAAGTTCATATAATTACATCCTTATACGGGAAATACGTTGATTGACGCTCCATTATAAAAACATTCAAAGTTAATTTATACCCCTTTCTTTAAGGAACTCATGGGAATGACAGCCACTAGTTCATCACCACAGACTGCCAAAAACACCATTGCTACAGAAGGGAAGATCAGTGACATAACTTTCACTATTGCACCGTCTCAACCTACAACATCCACACATAGCACTTACAGCAACAACACCTATTGAATTAGAACATTCAACACTGTCCATACCCATGGAGATTCCAACGGCTCTCATGCCCACATAACAACCTACAGCATCTGTGCCCACAGAGCAACCTACAGCATCAGTGCCCACAGAGCAACCTACATCTGCATCTATGGAGCAGCTGACAACTTCAATTTCTACAAAGCAACCAACAGCTTCCACACAAAGTAGAAAATCATCAAGAAAACCAAAGAAGTCTGCCAAGCTTCAGCAAATAGAGAGAGAAGGTTAACAACGCAGACTTGTGCGAAAGCTTACGGAACTTAAAAGAAGTGGTGACATAGATGACTATATCAGTACATACAGGCCAAGAAAAAAAAGCAAGACTACAATCAGTTTCTGACCTTGCCAAACTGGAGTATAGCCACCCGGACATTTACAACAGACTCATAAAGTTGTATTTTGTGATGAAGACAATATTAATACTGTGATCTCTTTTCTGGCAACACATTTCCCTAATGTCACAAATATTCAAATGGCAGAGAATGTTATAGCTTTTATAATTGATGAATGTAATATTCCTGCAGACAGATATTAATTTTGTTGTGTATTTTTTTGTATATAACTAAATAAACTCAAGACGTCAGAAACATAAAAGTTGATTTGTGTTTTAAAAGAAAACGCTCTCCCAATATACCTCCATCTATAGTTTTGACTGCGGGTTTGACAGATTTTCAACATTGTAAGAAACTAACCCAAAAATGTGCTGTAGAAAATCAATATCTCCATATTTTCTTTCAATATAATTAATAAAGTCTGGAGAGTTGATTGCACATAATCAAAAATAAAATTATTATCTGGTTCTGCAATTTTGAAAAATCAGGATCATATGCTTGTTTTATATCACGCAGAAACCATGCCCAGCTGAGTCATGTCCAAGAACCGAGGAAATATATTACCATATCTAAGAAAACAAGTAACCTGTAGAATGCTGTGTGTGTAATATTTTTATATTGATTTTTGTTGCATTGATTTTTGTTGCATTTGCAGCAAATAGTTACCAAACAATGAGAAATGTATATAGGATTGAATATACTGGATTTATGGCTGCACATGCATAGTTCAAGCTAACCCGGTACAGTGGTGTGTGTACAAAGACGCGTTGGGTTGACAGATGTTTCCTACCACACAGTCCTGCTTACAACTTTAATAATTAATTAAAATTACCTTTCTGTGATCTTTGGATAGGGTGGTAGGGGCGTTGTATAATTTGTTTTCCTGAAGACACAGAATACACAGGAGAAAGGATGTTGGGCGGGGGGTATATCGTTGGATAGGAATCGGTGTCATATAATTTGTGACATAGATATTCACTAAAAAGCTTTCAGACATTATATGTGGACCTAAATTTCACTGTACTGTGTGAAGTCCGATAGAATATAGGGGAAATGGCATTTTCCCCGGAATTTATTTTTGGTGGAAAAGTGTTTTCAGTGAAGATGAAGTATTCAACAGTACTAGAGAGGGCTTTTCAGAATCAAGAGGTATATTTGAGTATGAAAATTATAGTTTACATTACTAGTTACATATACGAGTACAAGTACGATTAATGAAGAAACCATGAGTTTTAAATGTAACATTTTATTTGCAAGTAGAAAAATAAAAATGTTTTATAACTGTTAAAAATTTCAAAACACATGAATTATAAATAAAAAAATAAGATTGTAAACAACAGTGTTGGTATATTTAGGAAAACATGTTACATAATGTCATAATGGAACTTGTGCTTATTTAAAAACAAATAATGAATAAAAACATTATAAAATTGATGATCACATAAGTTTTCAAATAAAACATTCATATTAAGATTTCAATAACCTTGTGAAAAGAACTTTTTCTTAAAATTATCCTAAGGGAAAAAAAATAGTACAAAGCATTTTGAGTAGTAATTGGACAGTTTGATAAATGTTAGGTGCAACTTCAAGAAAAGTTTCTGGTCAAACTGGTTTTTCAAAAATGATGCAGTTTTGTTGTTGTTTAACAAATAACAAATAAGTACGTTCAATCACAGAAATAAATAGATCGTTGTATGCTCAGAATTTGTCAAGGATCTCATTTTACTTTTTAAAATCAACATAAACCATTTTTATTAGTGTTGATGATGACCAGAAACAATATTTTTGTGGTACCTTATATGACATCACAATGAAGACTTCAATAAGTCTATAGAGGGAATCTTAAATCATAAGATTTGTAGTGATGGCCAACCTAATATATAATTGTTGGCAAGTTACATAGCATACTAATAAATTTCAATAAATAAAATATAAACGATTTCTAGTAAAAGTAAAACTACTCCTTATATATATTCTATGGCAAGTTATGAAACCATAAGAGAAAACTTAATAAAACTGTGGATGGAATCTTTGTAAATTTTAAAATACAAAATATTTCTTGTAATGGTAAAACTAGGACAACCTGATAATTTGTTTGGCAAGTTACGAAACATAATAGAAGACATAAAACTGTGGATGGAATCTTCGTAAATTTTAAAATACAAAATATTTCTTGTAATGGTAAAACTAGGACAACCTGATAATTTTTTTTGGCAAGTTACGAAACATAATGGAAGATTTACGGAATGTCAGAAAACGCTAAAAATCTATAAAAACAGATTGTTGAAAAATTGGATAAAACTGATTATGCATGTTTGTAATACTGGTATTTTATGATGTAAATACTCGTTTGAACACTAATGCGTCAATTTTGAAAATTACAATGAAATTGTGCTGGTAGGGCATTCAATATGGCAGTTTCTAAGGTAGCCGGGGAGGTTAAAGCTATAGGCTGTCAACAATAACCTGACATCTGGTAAAAACAATGTGCAATTTTCCATCTTGCTTCCAGGCATACAAACAAGCATATCTGCCTTGGCATAGACTGAAGATGGATTTTCAGTTGTATACTCTCTTGAGCAGTTTGGACATTCATTTGCCTTCAGTTTTTTTGTTTTTACACATGAATTATTTGTAACAAGGGTATATCATCACACTATCCAAACCAATTGCACTGCACTGCACTGCATTCTTTCTTTTGGAATATCTTCTGTCATATCCGGATCAAGAGCATTTGTCGAAAGGTGAATTGAACTGCACTGCAAAGTGGCGTTTTGACTTTAAAAAGGAAAAGAAATAGCAAACTGCCGTTAATGAACTTGGAGTTAATATTTTCCCTGTGCCAGACAAATTGGGCTAAAAAGGGCATGGTCGGGGGAAAAATGGAACTGGCATTAATGAACTTCGAATTACGATTTTCATAATTCTCTCTTCACAGATCGTACTGTCAACGTTTCATTGGAACACATTTTTAATTTTCACCACTGGACAATGCATGACAGAATTAGGTTTTTGTCTTGATCCTACTGTGGAATTTATTCATTTTGGAGATATAACCAAGCTAAAATTACCATTGGGCAACACCTGCTAAAATCAGATATCCATTCCAGTGGTTAATTCATACGATCCTTTTAAAAACATGTATGGAATTCGGTATTCTAAACACTGCAGGTTTTGGAAGTGTATAGAGACGAAACCAGAGGTAAATGTTTTTCGGTTTATATAGTAACCTCTGTATTTTCATAATAGATAGATGAAAACAGTTAAATGTTGTTCCACAGTTTTTTTTAATTACTACAATTATATAGTATAAATCGGCAGGGATAGAAGAGGTTTCATGGGATCATTGTTTTTATTGACCAAAGATGCAGACCGGTCAAATTCATTTATGTCTGTAAATTAGTGGATGAAACTCGCACACAACTCTGACATGGCGGATAAAACATGTTGTTGAAAGTATTCTTGACGAATTGAATATAAATGTAAGAGTGGCAGTTGTCAAAGCATGTCACATCTTCATAGCCATATATACAACACAGATACAATCCATTGTTTACTTACATTAAATTTAATAGCGTCTGCCAACTTGAGTGGACATTTTGTAACCCACATTTTATGTGCAAGTTCTTTCATTTTCAATCCAAATGTGCATCATGATATAATGTGCAAATAAATTAGTTTTCAAATAAAGCATTTGTCTTTCTTTCTGGCATTAAACACACTGTGAGCTTTTCAATTTAAGGTGGGTGTGTAGGTCTGTTCAACAGAAATCTATAGAACTGTTGATATTTCAATGTAATTTGGTATACATATGCATTCTACAGACCCGGTTACGTTTTGGGCTAAATCTGTAAATTAGCTAATTTGCATATTGTTTGTTCATTAAATTGGGATTACCTCATGAACAACGCAACAGATTTTGATCAAATGTGATAAGGATGTACATTGATGTAATCTTTATGCCATGTTAGTATTGGGGGATTTGCATATATGTAAATTAGCTAATTTGGATAATGTGGCTCTTATGGTGTAATTTCATGAACCTGTTACTAAATGTTGCCCAGATTTTGTAATGTATTCTGGATAAATGACAGACCTGCTTATTTTCAACAATTAATACTGGTCCTGTAATTGTTCCAATACGCGGGAGCCCCTTCTAAGCTTTCTTCGATTATAATTGTGTAGCATATAGTAAATCCTGAGAATTGTGACAAATCAATATTATTATAGAAAACCAGCAACACATTATACCGTATTTATCCTGGTAAAAGCCTGGGGTCCTGAACGTTCAAATTGTCACTACAATGTGGAATGGGCCTTGAACACACAAGAGCATGTTTGCATTTTAGTAACATGGAATTGTCAGAAAAGACTCATGGTAAAGTAAAGTCATTGACAGCCCCATATAAGTTGTTTATTTACGTATCACTATGCATATTCCATTTGTATATACAATACAAATGTAGATACATGTGATTTTTTTTAATAAGACCTTTAGTGTTTTATAGATGTATTAAGTGGTTCACCAATCAAAATAACATTTAAAGTTTTAACTACTTGAATCTGATTCATGATACATGCTAGAACTGAAATTGTATTTCACATCATTTTAGTGTATTCATGGTAAAAATAGTGTTTACCTCAATGGTGTATTTCCAGTCAAGTGTGTATTGGCTACAATTGTATAAAATGCCTTGTTTATACTGAGTCATGACATGTGCTGTTGGTAAATGATGTCAACAGAAGGGATATGGTAATGTACAATATAACGAAAAATGGTAAAAACGGAACAATTGGTCAGAATGAAAACATTGTATTTTTTTATGTACAAAACTCAATACTGTGAATTGTCACACGCAACGTAATATTACCGCAATTGGTATAGTACAGGTGTGATGGTTCAAATACCAAAATGGCAACAGTAACAGAAAAACTTCCCTGGCGGCGATGATAAAACACGAACACGAAGCCAACAGATGAGGTTTCAACTGG